ATAGAAAGTCCTTAATGAGCCAAGACTATGAGGAAGACCTGGGAGGCAGAATAAGCTTAATAAAAGGAAGAACTTCTTGGAAGTAAGGCCAAAAATAGAGATTTATCTCGTATTTAACCAGAATCTGCAAGCCTACTTAGTGAAAAGCAAAGAAATGATGACCTAAGCTAGGGAATTTGAGCCAGATGATTTAAAAGATTCCTTCAAATTTTAACATTTTTATGAACTATGATTGACAATGGATTTCCAATTTCCAATGCTAATATGTAAAGACAGCAAAAGGAAAAATTGCTTCCCCTATGTTGTGATTATTCAATATTATACAGAAGCAACATCGCAAGATCTCTCTATAAAATCTTGCAGAAGGACCAACAAAACATATATGTGAAACACTATGGAATTCAAGGACCTTCTCTCTTGATTCACATTGCCCTCTCCATCTACAAGGCTTCTTCTTAAAGTAATCACAGAGCTACCTGACAAGTTTCTTACCACATCAGCCCAGAGATTATGCCATAAGGAGACAGCTTCACTGATAAAAACTTCATTGTGCAATAAAGAGGCACCTTGAACTAGCCTGAATTAACCTCGAGAGGGGCGAGGGTTAGGAGGAAAGGAGTGCCACCAGGCACTTAGACCTATGTTTTAGTTTATGCAGCTATTATTTCCATTGAAGCATTCCTTGTTCAAATTACAAGAGTAAACTGTTAAGCTTCAAAGTAAGGGAGTTTTCTTCCCTGAAAATAACTTAAGAAAACTAGTTCTATATGTCCCTGTACATTGCTGAATGATCTGAAGAATGATCCCTGACACTTGCTAGATGTGTGATCTTTAGCAGGTTGCTGAGGCTCTAGGAGTCTCAATTTCTTCATCTGTAAAATAGAGACTGCAGTGCTACTTCATAAGGTGGCCATAATTTAAATATGTGCTCTGTAGATTAAAATGAAGTGCAAACACAAGAAATTGCAGGGAACATAATGAAACAAACACTCTCTGCAAGTACAATTTCTGAAATCAGTATTGAAACACCTAATAAGCAGACTAAGCATATGATAATTAGTCAAGCAAGAATAGCATAAAGAGATCAATTCAGCTTCACTAGACTCAAATTTTCACAATTAGAAAATCCTGAGTGAATTTATTTTAATTCCAGTATATCTGTTTTTGTGTTAACAATTTTAAAATTTTATTTTTAATTCCATAAATCACATATAACTTTTTCTGTATGAAGAGATTCTACAGTTCTTTAAGTTGACCTTGCTTAGTTTGCCTTAAATAGACTTGACAAGTACTGTGAGCTGAAAAATACAAACCCTTGTGACATTTCAGAGAGAGACATAAAGAAGAGATAACATACATGTCATATGGGTTAATTATTTATTTCCTGGTATTTGTGAGTGATTTCGTACAAGACAGCTGTCTCTATTGTGAGAGACTGTGGCAGCAGGAATCACTGCAACAAGTGCATCTCAAATCCAGTATGTCTTTAAAGATGGAACTGGGATCTAGGGGGTATTTGATCAGGGGAATGGGAGATGCATCACAACTGCACAAACAACTCATTATGCCTGCTCAAAGCTAGACTATGACATCATCAAAATCAAAAGAAGGTCCTCTGTGTAGCTCATACCTGAAATTCCACAATACTGTTCTAGTAAAGCTCACAAATACAGGCCTTGCTTTGATAGAGGGTGCAACGAAGAAAAGTCGAAGGCATTGTTCTGTTTCTCTCTGTGATGGCCACATGCTAAACAGGCCAGGGCTCCTGTACTGAATCTCTGCAGTGATGAGAGTTAGCAAAGAGCCAGGCAGGGGTGCCCCTCCTTTGTTGCTGCTTTCATTTTTCAAATGAATCATAATTTCTGCATTGGATACGAAGATGGGTTTACAGCTATTAGCCCTCATATTAATAATTTAGAAAATACATGCCCAATCACTTGTGTTCTTTCAATTCCCTATGAACACAGCTGCAACCCACATTAGAAGCGAGGGTGAATGGATATTTTTCAGATGAGATATTTGGGCTGAATTATTAGGGTAGCCTGTACTACAGAATTACTAATAAACATTGCTTCTGGCTCAATTTAGTCTGAACTCAGTGAACCTAGCCAATGGTGACAAATCAAAAACTCAGAAATACCCGATGAATGAATCTAACTAATCAAGGAACCCTGTAGGAAGTAGATGCCAGGATTAATGAGCCAGTAGTTTCACCATGCCATGCTGCTATTTCTTCACATAAACGCCCTCAGATGAGATTATCTTTATGTCATGAAAGGGAGAAAAGGAAGGTTACATTCTTTCAACTGACAGGTTAACTATTGCCATTACTAGAATACACATCTTTGTCAGCTAAATTTTGCTCTTGATCTCAAAAATTAAAATGTAAAGTCTGCAATACAATTAAAAACACTTTCATTTCCAGGGAACAAGTCATTAAGGGCATGAAACATAAATTGTTCCAAAGTCAAAATTTCTTCTGTATTTCCTCAGGATGTCTAGTAGATTCATGTCTACTTTAATTTACCCAAACTGCTCTCTGTCCTATTTTGTATTCAATATCAAACATCATCTTTACCAAGTTGCATCCTATACCATATTTCTTCCACCACCAACAAAGGTAAGTATAACATCACTACTGTACCATCACTTGTATGCCATATGATATTTAGTATGTTGAGAATAAAATAAAGATACAAGGATGAATGTATGTATTAAATCAATCATACAGTTGACCTTTTTTTTGGCTAGCATGTGATGACAGTATTCAGTCCCAAACAGGTCATTCAACAAAATGTACAAAATGTACTCAACAAAATTCATCATTTTGTACTTGCCTACTTTATCTTCTGATATTATTTAGTATTATTTATTCCTTACTAAATTTACATCTAATTTTAACAGTTTTGAGTGTGATTTGCTGTTCATAATGACTAACACATAATAAGAAATATTATTGCATGGTTAGATCCCCCCCTTAAAAAGCAAGTCTTTCAGGCTTGTTATTGAGATTCTCATTCTCTCCTTTTCATCTCGCTAAACTGTCAACCCTAACAATTTAGGCCTGAGCTTGCTTTGGCAGCACATACACTAAAAAATAATTTAGGCCTTCCTTTGTCCTCATAGCACGCATAACCTTAAAATGCTCAGGGTTCTTAATACAGAAGTCGATTGCCATAGAAACAAATATTATTCCAGATTCAGGTCAAGTGAAAAACTCTGTATACTTTCATTTTAATACTGATAAATAACCACTATATTATGAAATATAAGTATTCTTTCAAAGTCTCTATCACTTCAGTTGATTTGCAACTTCTCATGAGTGTTCTGAGTTGGCCTATTTTTTTCAAATGAAGATCCCATTTTCCTTGCCTTTGAGAAATACAGTTTTTAGAGGTTCCATTTAGCATCCTTTATTGCATTCCTACATCATAAAGTTATGCTTTATGGCAGCATAAAAAAGCTGTAAAAATTAGCATCCTTGTAAACAACCTTCCGTGTTCACTGATGGAGCAATCTGTGATTTGTACTGATTTCTTAAATGTGACTTGAGATTACAGTATCCACGATTTCAAATGTAGAAAAGAAAAAACAGAGCACCAACATAAGAGAAGGGAAAATATGATGAATTGTAAAAACAAGGAAGAGTAATATCCATCTATTGATATTGTAGAAATGTTAAGGTTGTGTTGCTAAATTCTAGAGTGTATTCTAAAATATAGAAATGTTCCATTTTATATGAAATCTTAAATCAGTGTGTTTTCTTCCTTAATGTTATATCAAAACTATTCTTTAGAAAATGTAGAAGTAAAATATTCGGTAAACTCACCAATTTAACTCAAAAATTCCTAAAATAACATGAACATATGGTTTTATCATAGAAATGTAAAATTTGTCCTCACTCAGGAGATTCACTATATACAACTGGATAATGATTAGCCTAAAATTCACATGTAGCCCCGTGGTACAAAACCGTATTCCAGGTATTTTTAGGGTTGTACACTGTAGCAACCAAATGTGAACGCTTCCTAAGGGAAAATGGGTGCCCTCTCATTGCCTATCGTGAGCACTGAATTCAAACCACAACACTGATTTTCTAATGCAAGCCAGTCTTATGGATGTGTCCCCGCCGGCAACTTTCCCTCTGGGACTACCAAAGAAACAGTGACTTTTACCACTGCTTAGAGACCAGGCCCCAAGCACGCGGCTGGCGTCGTGCTCAGCGGGCACCAAGCAAGCCCTGGTGGGCGGCCCGGCAGGGATCCGCGCCAAGAGCGCCACAGGGGACCTGGGCGTCTGAAGCCCTTCGGGGTCTGGGGACGCAAAGGGGTGCATCCCTCTTTGGGAAGGCGGAGGCAAGACGTAGGCCTTAGGGAGAAAAGAGCCAGACCTCTGGCGTCCACAGCGTACCTAATCCAGTCGCTGCTCCGGGCGGCCCAGGAGGCTGTGCAGGATCCGTGGGCGTAGGGCTCAGCCGCAGTCCCTTCCCGCCCACAGCTTCCGTCGCCCGCGGGGAGGCGCCCTGCGCTGCAAGGTCCGAGGGAAACCTTTCACCCTCCCGCCGCGAGTTCCGCGCCGGAACTACGCCCGCGGCCTAGCGTACGGCTGTGGTGCCCGCAGTGGTCCCGAAGCCTGGCGAGGCGCCGAGCTCGCGTGGGACGCTCCCGGCGCGGCCTCCGCGCTGCCGGCCTGCAGGTCGCAGGACTCGGGCCTAACCTGGCGGGCTCGACGCTGCAGCCAACACGGGGCCTCGCTCTGGAGGCCCTCAGAAAGGGGCCAGAGCGAGAGTCCAGGGTGCAGCCCTGAATCGGAACCCAACAGTGCTGCAGGCACTGTCCCGAGCTCCCGCGTCCCAAACACCACGTCCTGACAACGGAGCGCGAATGGGGAGCCTAGGATGGCCCTGTCCCTTCCCGCCATCCAGTGTCACACCAAAACCCGTTGTTCTCCATATCACATACTGAAAAAGATTTTATTTTATCCATTTACATTTACCTTGATTTAAAATTGTCCGGAATGGTCAAATAATATGCTTTGTATTAGCTCAAACATTTATTAAGAAAACCAAATTCCATAAATAAGCACAGACAGTAAGTTAAAACATATCACAAATTGACCAGTATGTAACAAGAATGCTTTATCTACACAAAACATCCTATTTCACATGTTTGTTCATTCTTAGCGCTTCTGTTCTCTGGGTTGGGATTTGACCAGCACATGCAGAAAGAGCTGATTGTGTTTCTCTGTACAAAGTTGGAGGGTTGCAGGTGTCCGCGCGCGCCCATGGGCGGCCGGTAGGCGGCCGCCGGGCACGAGGACCACAGGACGGACGACCACAAAGTAACCAAGGGCACAGAGCAGCGAGAAGAGAAACGGAAAAGGAAGCAAACAAATCCCAGTCCTGAAGGATCCAGAAAAGAGATGTGGCTTCTGCTTTTTTTACAAAAGGAAAATTTGCTTACGTGTTAATTTTATTCCTCCTTAGAAAGACTTATCAAAATGGGTAAGATCACTCTGCTTCATCGCTTAACTGCTTTAATCTACTCCAGCCACCAGAGCACTGGCGTGTTCCTCCTGAGAAAGCTCCCCTTCTACGCCCTCAGACAAAACTAAGACCGAAGAAAGCGGCGTTTTGCAAGCCAATAGAGGGCATGTGCCTGGGGCTGGGCGAGGGCAGGGTAGCGGGGAGGAAAGAAAGGGGCCAGAGCGAGAGTCCAGGATGGGTCCATCCTCTCAGTGGGGCCCTCGGATGAGGCTGTCGATAGCAGATGCTTGTTCCTTACCACAAAGTCCCTAACCTTGTGCTGTCCCGTGAACACGTCCGTGTGTGACCGAGGTGCACAGTGGATGCGTGTGCGCGCGCGCGTGTGGTGTCTGAGCGTGAGCGAGAGTGAGAGTGTGTGTTCTGCCCACGAGCCAGTCCATTGGTGTCTGATTTCAGATCCTGAGTCGACTCCCTGGTAAGTAGAATGGCGGGAAGGATGCTTTCTGCCTGCCGGCCGCGGGCGGAGGGCGAGGCGGGACGCGCGAGGGGCCGAGGGGCGCGGGCGGGCGAGGCGGGCGCGCGGGGGCGGGGTTGGACAGGACTGGACGGGGCGGGTGCGGGGTCCGCGGGCCGCCCGGGCTGGGGTGCGTGGGGTGCGGGGGTTGCGCGGGCTGGGGGTCGCACTGCATTAGGTGAAGCTCATGGAGACTGTGTGCTCTAACGCCTTGCGGCGGAGGGAGGCGATGCTCGTGCCCCGCCACACGTCGCTGCTGTCCGGGGAGCTGCAGAGCTGGGGCGACCCCGACACGTTGCTGGGGCCGGGGAGGGAGGCGGGCACCATGCCGGGGAAGGCGGGCTGGTAGAGGTGCGACTGCAGCCCGGCGCCGTTGGAGCCCGCCAAGCTGTTGGACAGCCCCATGGAGTTGGGCGGCGGCCCGGCTGCCAGGCTGCACTGCGACAGCGACTGCGCCATGGCCTGCTGCCTGCCCAGCGCCGGAGGCAGCGGCAGCTGCGACACGCCAGGCATGGCGGCCGCCGCCCAGCGGGTGTCGTTTGCGTGGAAGGAGCATAGGCTGTCACCCATGGCGGCGGCCGCGGCGGCCGCGGCGGAGGGAAACTGAGGCAGGCCTGGCGTGGGTAGCAGCGTGCCAGGCGCGCGGAACACGTTGGTGGTCTTCTTGCGCTTCTTCCACTTGGCGCGCCGGTTCTGGAACCAGACCTGGAGCGGGCCGGGCGAGAACGAGACAAGGCGCCGTTAGCAGCCGGGCGACCGTAGAGAGCAGGGCGGGGACCCCAGAAACCCGCGTCCCAGGAAGGTGGTCAGCCCCAGGCCGAGCCAGCGCCCTCTGCCGGCCGAATGAGGCTCGCATTCGGCTTGAGATCCGAGTTCTCCACTGCTCCTCGCCCCCATTCAGCGCGCACCTACCAGCTCCAGGGTGCTCTGCCCCGGGCTCATCATGCCCTTGCCCACCGGAGCATTCAGTGCACTGCACAGATGCATAGGTCTGCAGGCAGACGTGTGTCAAGGCTCGGCCCACAGGTATACAAATGAAAATAAACATGCGTACCCATGTGGCTTAATAGCGTGTTTTATAACACTGAGGGGGTATAAAATCTTCAGAAACGCTGGAAATTTGGAAATTGATAAAGGACTATGGGTGACATGGCCAGTTTCAAAACTGAAAGACAAAGAAAACTCCCAACACCACGGTTGACAGAGCAGAGAAGTTAATATAGTGATCTGTGTGAGCAGGTGAGCTACCTTGGTGCTTGGGTTCCTCTATAGCGCTTGGTGCTGCTACCCCAGGTCTCCTAACTCACTCCAAGGGCATCTTTGGTCTAGGCTCCACAGCATGTGCTGCCACCCGCTGCTGAATACCTTCAAGCCTATTCCTTTCACTAACTTACTGAGGTCACCAAGTAAGGAGGCCTCAAGTGGACCTCTCACTTTCATTTATTATCTAGAAGTAAAATTTCTTCTCAATACAAATGAAAGATCAAGTTTAAAAGACACTAGTTAGGAAAAAATTTAATTTTTTTTTGGTACCAGGGATCAAACTCACAACATAGTGCTTGCCAGGCATGCACTTATGCCACTGAGCTAAATCCCCGACCTCTAAACAAATTTAATTTTGCTTAAACACCCGAAGCCTTTTTCAGGGAGATATATTTGGTAAAATATACTCTAAATGAAAATGAACCTACTCTTTTGTCCTTAATACTGGCCCAGGAAAAACAGACGCCACTAGGACAATGTACCTACAAAAGTCAAATTCACACCACATGGAAGGAGTTGTCTGGAAGACATGAGTTGCCTGATCAAAACAACTTCCTATTTTTACCTATTTGAATTTAATCTTTTAAATTCAAATGCATGTTGGGGGAAAAAATCACCAACATGCTTACTTGGCAGATTTGCACTTTAAAATCTAGTCAGCTGAAGACCTGCAGTACCTAAAATAAATGATGTAAGACACACCTCAGATACTGATTGAGTTTCCTCTTAGAATTTGGTCAACTGCAGTTTGACCACTGTATTTGTAATCCAAATGGTTATTCCTATCCTTTAACCCAGTAATTTTACTAGCTAACACATCAGAGTACATCCTTGCTTTCCTTCTCAGAAAGCCAGCCTTATGCTCAAGACTCTCTGCCTACCGATGTGAAAGGCATTGCAAAGCAAGCTTCCCTCTGAGCCTGCCTTGGCCTTCCTCTCTTCCCCTCACCCTCATCTGCACTTCATCTTTCTCTGCTTGCTGCCCCATTTCCTGCATTGCTGCCCAGCCAGTATTGGCAGTGGGTAAATATGTCTTGTACCTTTCTCACTGCAGCCCCAGCGCTGGTGGCCGCTGGATTAATGAGGCAAACAGGGCCCTTGATGCTGGATGGGATCAATGTGGTGGGATTGAGCTGTTAGTGACCTTTTGAAGAGAGATAAACCCCCACAAGTTCTTTTTGTTGTGCTCATGCAGTGCTGAGGAGTTGGACAAAATGGGGTCCTTAACAGAAAACCTCGTGTCCACATGGTCCCCTTGTCTCCCATGCAGTACTAGATATATTTTTAAACTTATCTTATAAAATCAAGAACAGTTCCTAATACACTGCAAGTGCTGATGAATCCTGAAATGTTAGGTTGCTTGGAGGGCAGGAAGTGATAGAGAAATTGGAGAGAGGGACAGAAGAAAGAGGGAGAAAATGCCCAGTATAATTTCAAGCAAAGATCACTGCCCAAAACATTTCTGAACCTAGGATATGCTCAGACACAGGCAGAAGAGAACAGATGCGAAAGAACTGAATATTATAGGAATAATCGAAAAATCGTGCTCAATTATGTTTTTGAGGGTTAGTAGTCAAATGATGGCTACACTTATTTTATATTTCATGGTTTACTGGGGTTGGGGAAAAAAATCTGTATAGTATCCAAGCACCTCTGTTCCAAGCTATGATGCATATGTTTTTAAAATGTGAATGTTTCCACTTGAAAACTAGAGCATGACAGATTAAAATGCAGGTAAAACCTAAGGGAGATTTTCAGAATACACGGATGACAACTCCAGGAACTATATTAACCACAGACACACACTAACTTTGTACTCAGTCTGAAATTCAGCCCTTCTTGGAAAATGCTTAATACAACAGTGAGAATCTAATGGAGGTTGGAATCTAAAAATCCACTTTCATGATATCTGCTGTTACAGTAATATAGACATACTGTAAATGTATTTTAAAATATATAGCCCATTTAATTCCCCAGCTATATATGGCTCAGAGATAGAGAAAGAGGGGGAGAAGGAAAGAATATTACTTTTTCCCCCTCAAAGCAAAAGCTTTATGAAGATCTCATTGGAATCCAGCAAATGATTAATGTGAAGATTTGGGAGGAAATCTGGGGAGCTATATTAAAGCCTAGATCTCAGGTTCATTTTGATCAGCCAGCCGTGAACTCTGGGCCGAATTCATTACACTTTAATAGTGCTGGGAGAGGGAGAAAATGCAATTTCTCATTCCATTAGAAAACTAGAAAATACTCTCAGCTTGTCCCCCTATTAAGATGTGGCAGGTGACAGGGCCATTCTGGGGGACACGGTCAGTGGAATTACAGCACATTATTTTTGTTCGTATAAAATATTGAAAGGCAAGCCTGACTGTGCAGAAGTTATTTCACTGATTTGGTTTTTATGTAAATAAAATATTGAAAGTTAATTAATCCGTGCTAGAGACTAATGATTATGCTTATTATATTGCATTTGATCGCGTAATTTGCATGATTCTCGCATTGCTGCTTAATAAGCCATTCCAGGTTATAAATAATTCTGAAATTGGTTTCTAATAATGGCATGCTATAAAAGGAATGGTTTTATTACACTAGGCAGAAAAGGGGAGCAATACCAGACACGGTATTGGCCTCCATGTGAGTAGAGGTACTTTAATGCTTAAAGTGTGATGTATATCAGATATAGATTAAAAATGAGTATATTGCATAATTTAGCCTAGATTCAAAAAGCATCTCTGAAAACATACAATCGCAATAAATTAAATGTTTAGATCATTCTTAATCAGTACAGTGGCCCACATACTGAAAAGAATGTGTGGCAATCTGTTAACTATAAAGAAAACTATGAAGTACTTATCATATACCAACATAAACCAATTACTATTTAATTTGAATTTGGTCAAGGAGCAATGATACAGTGAATGGTGAAGTAAACACATTTTCCATAAATTATTTTTTCATTACACTATATGTTAATCATTTTGAAATGTTAATTAAGAAGGTTATGTTGATCTGATTACTTTTCAAACTATGAAACATTATTTTTAAAAATATTGAAATTGCCATTCTATTAAATTGTTTCTATCAACAGTCTCAAGCTATTATCTTTGGTTGAACGTTATGCTGGAACAATTAAAGTACTTTGTCTCTTTCTTCTTGCATATTTTTGTGTGCTTCTTGCAAATAACTATTTCTACTATATTATCTATATTTCTACTATATTATCTATATTTTACTTCATTTACAACTTTTTCCATTAAAAGAATCACTGTCATTAACCTTTGGAAGACCCAATAAAGTTTATAGACCTCATTGTCTTTTTTTTCATAAAACCAGTTGTCCAGTTGTATTTTATTTGTGATTCTATTTTAATTACCAGTATATCTAGTTAAGACACAGCATTTTACTCTTTTAAAAAATTAATAGTTAATATTTCTGTTGGACAAAAAAGCAAATTTTACGAATTTTTAACCTCCAACATTATAATTTGCATAGTGTTGTAAGGGGGAAAATTAAGAGTTTAAAGGACATTACTATACATATCCGCACAATACAATTAAGATTCTTTTAGTGCAAAAATTTCAGTGGCCTGTGGTTCAGCCCTTTCAGAGTTCACTAAGAAAACCACCCGAAGTTATATTGAATCAAAATGTTAATCACTATGTTCTACCCTGAATATTACTTTATTAATTTGACTGTTTTAAGTCCCAAATGATATTCATTGACTATTAGAACAGAAGTACTGTACTACTTTTCCTCATTTAGATGATTTTTTAGATGCCAAGTGGAAATAGAAATATTCAACTCTGTGATAATGGACACCATCGCCGTTCACTAAGATCACATATTAAGCAACTGAGGCCTTTACAGTTAATTTATAAAAGCCGATGGCACTGATCTAACATACTAGTCAGGTTGACTCCCAAAATGCGGGACTGAAAATACCAATATGTCAAGACAGCAAAGGAAGATTTTTTCAGCACCCTGGACAGCTCATAAACCAACTCACCTGGGATTTCACTTTCAAGCACCTGTCCCTAAAAATATTTGATGGTTTTCATGCTTTAGAAACCGTAAAATAAATCTTGAATTAATCGGGCTTATTAGTTTAGTCTTTAATTTTGAAAAGTCATAGATACAATTCTCTAGATATACTGTATATAACTTACAACTTAAAGTGTGGTTCAGTAAGAATAAGGGGTTAACACTGACTCATCCATTAGCAAGCAACCTTTCCCGCTCTACATATTTGTTCTTTGGAACAGATATATACAGTTGAAAGCCTTCGTTTTTCCACCAAACCGCTCCCTCTCAGTTTCCTTGGAGGAATCTAAAAAATTTAAACGAACAAACAAAATCTCCAGGGCTCCTAGGCTGCGAAGGCACTGGTGGGTGGTGAAAACCTTGTGACCATCAAAGCTGAGGGGTATTTTGCATGAGAGTGGACAAGAAAATATATTTAGGAAAAAGAAGCTACGCGGGGAAATGCGGGTGTAGCTCTTTTTTTAAAGGTGCTCATCGCACTTCACTCCTCTCTCGTCGTGTTTTCTGTACCATTGTTGTGTTCCCCCTTTTACCCAAATGCTTCACAGGAGCTCATTAGAGATAATAAAATACTTGTCAGTACTGGAGTGGGGGCGCGCGCTGGCGCGGCTGCCCAGGCCGCGGAGTTGCCTCTGGACAGGCGCGACACTGCGCTTCGGCTGAGGACGTTCGGCGGGGTGGTGGCTACGCCGGTGGGCCTAGCGTGTCCACGGGGAGATGGCGATGGGACTAATTTCTGGGCAGAGAAGCAGCTAGCTCGACCCACGTGTGCAAATGTGGCCAGGGTTCCGGAGAGGGAAAGGAAATACCCGACTCCCTTCGCCAAGTCCTCCCACCGCCTGCTGACCTTCCGCCCGCTGGAGCCTCGCGTACCTGCACTCGCGACTCGGTCAGCCCGATTCGCAGCGCCAGCTCCTCGCGCATGAAGATATCGGGGTAGTGGGTCTTGGCGAAGCTCCTCTCCAACTCGTTGAGCTGCGCGGGGGTGAAGCGCGTCCTGTGGCGCTTCTGCTTCTGCTGGCCCTGCTGCTGGCCGGCTTGGTTGGGGTTCGGGCCACCTTGGGGCCCGGGCTGCTTGTCTGGGTCTTTGGCGCTTACGGCCAGAGAAGCCGGAGTGGAGCCCACGGTGGTGATGTCCTCTCCGGGCAGCAAAGTGGCTCCCTCGACTGGGTCCGTGTTGGGCGCCAGGTCCCCTGGATGACCCCCGGGGTCCGAGCCCCCCACGCCCAACCTACACTTCACCGCCTCCCGGTGGCCCAGCAGCTCGGCGGCATCTTTCATACCTGAGGAGGGAAGGAGGTCGTGAGCGTTACTGAGATGCTATCTTCCTCACGCTGTTCTTCAGCCCCATCTTCGGCCCTCCGCGCCGTCCGCGCCGTCCGCGCCCGAGCTCGCCCCAAGGACGAAACTACCAGGGCACAAGTCCGGCTTCCCCAGGTTTGGTCAGCCAGGCCGGAGCAACACCTCCTGGCCCTTTCGCCTCTCTCCGCAGCTGCCTTGGTGGTAAACAAGCACAGGCTTTCTTTTCTCCTGCAATAAAACACCCTCAGGCCCAGCAATAAGAGATGCCCCCGACGCTCTTTCAAAATTTGTACCCCCGACCCCCACACACAGGAAGTCGAGAATAAATCCTTAGACCCCAGTGATGGGGAAAAAGAAAGAAAATTAAATACTTCCTTGGCTACTGCCGCACCTCAATTTAGTCTCTCCAACTCTGTGGCCTGCCGGATTTCCTTTCACTTTGGAAGATAAGTAAGTCTCCAAACCTGCCACCCCACGAAATCAACCCAAATCATCTCCGCCTCCCCCCTCAAATCAGAGAAAGTGTTTGAGAAATTGAGTCACATCCATCACCAAAGATTCCTGAACCAGAAACCCAGAGCCCAGCAAACCAGATGGCATCATAGAAACTCAGGAAACTCTACAGACAAAACAGCGAGTCAAACTTGAGAGGATTCAACTTTTCTTTAAGAAGTAAAAGGTGTATTCTGCTCAGCCATCGGAAAAGCTGAAACCCTTGCAGAAGGTAGTCATCCCTGCGAGGACAAACTTTGTTTTTCTTCTTCTCAATCAGCACACTTAGCAAATTCACTCCGATGGTAGCAGCTCCTGCTTCCTGCCACATTCTTTTTAAAACAAATTCAACCTTCTTAGACAAGGTGAAGGAGAGCAGAGAGTGGGGAGAGAGAAATAAAGGAAGAAAGAAATCCCAGATCAAAGCAAACAGGAGAGAAAAAGAAAAAGAAACCCCTCTAAACAAGGGTGTTTCACAAGGCAGGTCGCCTTTAAGGGGAAAAAAACCATAAAGGGTAGGAGGGAGAAAAAATAAGAAAAACAAAAACTAGCAACATTCCCCAACTCCTTCTTTTGGTTCTACATATTCCATAGATTTTTTTTAAAAGACGATGTTAAATCAAATTAAACTTTAATACAGCACAATTACTTTTAAAGAAATTAGTCCATTTAGGGCACATTAAGGTAAAATAAGGAACAAATTGACAATTTCCTGTCCCGGCTTCTCCTGGCTGCCGGGCGCGAGACGCACACTCACCTAGCCTGGCGTCCAGGAGGTCGGCGTGAGACAGCATCGCGCACCGCTCCAGGGCGAAAGCTGTTCCCCCCCAAATTTTAGCGGCTTTAAGTTATTTAAAATAGATATAAGCTATAAGCTATGCGATATAGATATATATAGATCACCTAAATGAAAGAAAATTCGGTTTGTGGTTAAAAAGGGGGCTTCTTGCATTATAATGTCCTTTAGAGAGACGGGGAGGTGCTTAACAGTTGAATGAACCCGTGAGCAGCTCGGCGAGGGGACCAATCAGGAGGGCAGCCTGCAAATGTCAGCGCCTGGAGAGTCCCCCACTCCGCCCGCCCGCCCGGAGGAGGCGGCGGCCGCAGCCCTGGCAGCCTCAGCCCCTGGAGCAACAGAGCAGCGGCGGCGTCTCGCCCTCCGGGCGGGCCCGCAAGTGCTTCCCCGGCTGCTCCCCGGCACACCCTGCCTTCCCCAGGTCCTGCCCTGCCGGCTTCTCAGGCGCAGCTCCGGCTCTCAGAGCCAGACTCTTCCAGGAGCGGGCTCCGGGCAGAGACCAGAGCGGGGCGTGCCATCCGCGTGACCCGAGTTGCCCCTCCCGCGCGTCCCGGGCCACACTGGCCAGTTGTGGTCCTCGCTGGGTTCGCCACGGCCTGCACACCGCGCCCAGACTTCGCTGCAGCTCAGCAGGCCCGCGCCAGGATCCAGGCGCCCACGCGAGGCTCTGGGGCCTACGGAGCCCCAACCCGCAGCCTGCCTAGAGTGCAAAGGGGACGCTGGCTGCCCAGGCGCTGCGGGTGTGGGTGCAGGACGTCTGCTTCTCCGGCCTGCGCGCAGCGTGCGTCCCTGCGCCGTGCACCCTTCTCGCAATGCTGCCTCCGCTGCTCTCTCCAGCCCACGCTCGCAGGCTGGCCCTTAACCTGTTCTTGTGGTCAAAGTTTCTAAGTTCAGCTCGCCTCCCAACTTCACCAAGGCTGTAAATAAAATTAAATGCTCTTTATTTTCCTCCCGAATATGTTATACTACTTGAACAATTTAAAGTGCTTTGCACAAGTGAAGCGAACCATTTCTAATGTTCTGATTTTTCAGAGCCAGCCAACAACAAAGTTTAGATTAGTAATATATTTCTAACCAGAGTAATTTTCAAGATCATTAGGCATTTATGTAATTAGTGCCAAATCTATAAGCTTTTATTACGATTATTAGAGTAAAATCAGTATAAATTTGTACTAATTTACTACTGTTTAGACTTGGCTGTCAAGCCCAGAGGTTCTTATTGTAAATGATAACTGAGGAAATTAAGTGCAAAATTCTGTACCATTTCTGATCTACTCCTAAACAATCCGTTTCAATTGTATTTGCAGCAGAACATAATGCTCTTTTAAAGTTATTGGACTTGTATTTTTATTTGCAACACAAGAAAAATGCCCTCTACCCAGGCACAATGAAAACTGATATTTACTACTCTCAACTTGATTAACATTGATTTTTAATTCGAGAGTGATGCAATTAAGATTATTCATTTAGTGCAAATAAAGCTTCCACAAAAGGGTGGCCCTATGAAGTCTGTTTTAAATAATACCGAGCAAATGGCTTTTTTTGTTCGCCATCCAATTGACTTACACAAAACATTGGAGATGCTGCTGGAGAGCAGATGCGAGAGGAATTGTGTGTGTGTGTGTGTGTGTGTGTGTGTGTACACCCCCCCCCCGCGCGCGCACGTGTGTCTTCAGCCGTGTGTGACAGAGACGAGCAAAGAGACAAAGGAGGCGGCAAGGCGAACTCTGGGGTAGTTTTATTTTCTCCTTCCTTCTTGCAGCCCATTGAGTCTCTCTCTCTCTCTCTCTCTCTCTCTCTCTCTCTCTCTCTCTCTCACACACACACACACACACACACACACACACACACACACACGTTTTATGACGTGTGTGTGTGTGTGTGTGTGCCCTCACCCATGCACACACATGTGTGAATGCAGGGACATCTACTGCACGGTTCCTTGGGAGCCATGGAGTTCGCCTTACCAGAAACTCTGGGCCTGGCCGGTGGCTATTCGGTACCAAGGCAGCCTAGGTGGAGCTGGGCTTGGCAGAGCTGCAAGGCTCTTGGCAGGCGCCTGGTGCCCTTTTGAGAAAGGTTCTATCAGGGAGTAGATGAAAGAATTCCAAGACCTGAAGCAAACAGAGCCTCTCCAACAAAAGCTCCCTCCCTAACAAAACCCCGCTCTTAGAAGCTAAAGTGCGGGAGCGCACAGCAAGCGGAGACCGGTCAGCAGCCCTGTCGGGTAGTGGGCACTGGGAACCCAGCTCGAGGCTTACACCTGGTCCCGCAGGTCCAGGGACTCGAGGCGGGTCTTCCCACCCGGATGGGATTTTTGAGGAATCCTGGCCGTAATGCAGAGAAGAGGTGGGAGTGTGTTTCAGGAGGTAGGGAGGCCGGGCATCTGCACCTTGCTCCCCTAAACTGTTCCCCTAAACCCGCAGGCCTACGTAGGCCCGCACTGCAATGGCTCCGGACCCCACCCAGAGGGACCCAAGGAGGAGCCGTGGCTCCCAGGGCCGCGGCGGGGCGTGGGCCACAGGTCTGCACTTGAGCACCCACCCACGAGAGCGCGTGTCCCTCCCACGGCTGCCCGCTCAGCCAGGCCGGGCCGTGGCCTCTGCGCACACTGGCTGGTAGATTCTATTTTGTTGTATGTTTCAGGTCAATAAATAAATGTGTAATAGTTAATGTGAAGGCATATCAGAGTAATAACAATGGGACGAAATCAAAGGATTATCCATCTCTGTTAGTAACCGCTGAATAACAATGTTACGGCGTGATTGATAGCCCGCTTCGTTTTATGACTTTTCTATTGGTCTTGATTTTTATAGCAGTATAAACAAACTAAATCATTTCTTCCAAGACTTCGCAGCGAAAGCGGGGAAGGGGAAGAGAGATGAAAACAGAAATCCGCGCGTGGGAGGGGCGGTCTGCGTGGGTGGCCTCGCGTGGGGAGGGCGCGGAAGGCCAGAAAATCCCCCGCGCCGGCTCCCTCGCAGCTTGCTTCTGCCGACGTCTGGCTGCACCTGGGCAGCCCGGGCTGTGTTTTCCCGAGTTTTATTCCTCTCTTCTTCCCGCGTTCTCGGGCAGCCGGGAAAGTGCCAGTCAGGCCCATTGCTGTTGATAATTTAAGGCATTTCCCACATGATCACGGGAGCTGAGGTCCCTAACAAGGCGAGCCTTTGGCGTGATGGCCCCCAAATCTTCGGAATGACAAGAATGTCTTCAGAAATCACTTCACAGCAAAGTAAAAGGATTTTCTATGACGGATCCAGTGATTTTTCCTCAATAAATAGGTTTTAGATTGTTACACACACGTAGAAGTGGAACAAAGGGAACTACCAGAAAATATATTGGTTGCCCCTAATAAAATTTATTTAGACAGTTTACTTCTCATAAAAAATAGAGATTGAATTTTGTACAAGAGCCTGCCAAGGGGCGATGCAGGGAAGTCATTTTTCCTTCCTCCTTCCCCTCCTTCTCCTTTTTAACGAAGCACAAAGAGCGTTCAAAGGCCTGGAGCCGGCTCCGCGCTCCCCCGGCCTGGTGCGCAGACCGAGACGGGAAACCGCTGGCTGTGCGGGACGCCAGCCTTCTGGGAGACAAAATTTTTTAAAAACCAAAAGTTTGATGACTGATTATGTAAATTACAAGCACAGCAAGGACACAAACCGTGTCTTTCCTCCTGCCATGCCACGATGCCATTGCAGAGCAAGATTTGGGGATGTGGTGCGGCTGAACTGGGGGGCGGGGGCGGGGTGCAAGCCCGGACGCAGCACCTTCCACATGCAGCCGTGCAGCTTAGCGCTGAGGTTCTGATTTTCTCTCTAATTGTACTTCTGCATTCATTATGTACCCTTTGTCGTGACAGAGTCGGAGAGAGAATAAAAATGTATACCGAGTGCTCCAGGAGGATCTGGGTGCCGGAGCTCTAATTGCTTCTTCCACTTAGGGAAACCTCTGGTGTTTGTCAAATGCAACTTTCCGGGCTGTTCGGGTTGTTTGTATACTGCTGTCTTTTCTTTGCAGACAGTGGGCTGAAATATGCTGCGTTATTATTCACATTCCTGCTATTAAACGCTGAATTGTAACATTGTTCCCGTTAATGAGGAGCGCCTCCCTCAATAATTAATGATCTCACATTCTCCTATCTTCTTGCCTGATGAAAAGAATCAATTTTAATTCGTGGTAAATTACAGCCATGCTTTTGGGTATTATTTGCTTACAGAAAACAAATCAAGTGACTTGAACACTCCTGTTTACTCTTCCAGATATGCAATAACCCAAACCCAACGGCAGATCAGATCCTGTTCCTCAAGCCTGCTTTAGACTGGGGGCGGGGGAGACCACAGTGGGTCCGGAAGTTCGGGCGGGCAATGCAAGAGACTCGCGCCCACTGTGTCTGGAACAAACGTGACCATGCTGCGCACTCAGCCAGTTTTGATCACAGAATCTGTGCTTCCTGGCCGGGCCCTCGCTGCCCTCCCCGGCTTGAGCAAGGTCTGTGTATCACAATTGGCCACCTTAGAGTGTGGGGCTGCACCATGGAAGGCTGATTTGTAGGAGTCAACTTGAGGGTGAGGTGAGCAGAAGGAAAGGAATCCGAGAGGGTGGCCGTCCCTGCAAAGGGCACCAAATGTGTGCGCACCTCTCAGTCACAAAGGCCCTCTGGAGATTCCTAACCCGGGAGATTATAGCAAGGGCTCCAGCTTAGTGCCCAGGCTGCGCACTGCGCACTTCGCACTTAGAAGGCCGATGGCAAGCCTTCGAAGGGTCTCTGCAGGGCAGACGCCGAGGTCTAGGACTCCTAGCCACTCAGGCCGGAGCCCAAGCCTCCAAGCCACTATCAGTGCGATGGTCCGCTCGATGCAACCACCTGGGCCCGTGGCCACAGAAATGGCCCATAGGACCCAGGTTCCCAGCTTCCTAGTCAAACTGCGAGCATCCACAGGCCGGGACTTCCTGTCTGTACTTACTAGGCTCAGGCTGAAGGTTGCCTGCGCATAATATGCGTACCTAGTGGGGACGGTGAGCTGCTCCTGGCCACCGAGGTCCATTCACATGGTGGGGCTGTGCTAGGAAACCTGCTCCACCCGGCTTGCATATCCCGTATCCTTTCTCAATATAGAAGCCCGAGAGAAATTATTTTTTTCTGGAATAAACAGTTTCCCACACATTTGAATTTGCAAACTGTAACCAAACAGTCCATCTGAGTGGCTCTTCGTGGGAGCAGGGGTCAGTTCCTTGCTTCCCCCCTCCCCTACTCATCGTTTCCTTCTGACAGCTGACACTGGCAGCCCTCAATGCAGAAACCTCTACACAAAACAACGATAGATCAGTATGCACGCACTTCTGACTCTCTCTCTCTCTCTCTCTCTCTCTGTCTCTCTCTCTCTGCCTTTTACCCTGTAATTTTAATGGCCCCAATTAGCTACAAGGAATATAATAAGTGACATAG